CCCTTCCCCTTAAATTTATAAAAATAATCCCAATGTTCACACAATTGAACCTTCAAGAAGTTATGTAATGACAACTGTGCCCTACAGTATTCTAAGAAGCCCCATCCAGACTTGCACATGAAAGCCAGATGACACACTGGCCTTCTCAGGACACATAGTTCACACTGCTGCCTCTGCCAGCAGAGCCATTATCAGTTGTTGTGTTAGCCAGTTTCCTTCAGTGTTGTGTTTCCATTCATTGACAAGGATGAAGCAAAGTACCCATGTAGCAGTTCTTCAAGCTTGATCACATGTCACTAGGTTTAAAGCCAGTCAAGTGTGAGCTCAAATGGAAAAGAACCAAATGAAGGGACTGAAGAGACAGCCTAATAGTTAAGAGCACTTGCTAATCTTACAGAAAGACCTAATTCAGTTCCCAGCACCTACATCTGCCCATGACACCATAGCCAGGGAATCTGATGCCCTCTTCTGGCCCCCAAGGACACTGCATGCATGTATACACACACACACACACACACACACACACAGAGAGAGAGAGAGAGAGAGAGAGAGAGAGAGAGAGACAAACACACACATACACACACAGAAATTAAAAACAAAATATTTTTTTAAAAAAGCTAAAATGAAGAATACCGGAAATGTGCAAGCAAGCCAACTACAACTAACAAAATGTTGACTGTGTATGCTTCTCTTTTATCTTTTAGGACCTGAGCCGCTTCTTATGTAGGAGCCTAGAGTCCCTGTTTGCCGCATTTAACTTCAGTGTTTTCAGGAGTTTGTATGTTCAAAATTCTGTCTGCACATTGTCTCATCCACAAAAGATTTGAGGCAACCTATAGAAAGTTCAAAGTAGACAAACTGCAACAAGACCAGATATGGAACAGAAGGCCAAAATGTAGTATTTGTAAATTTTATTAACACCCAAAATATACCTCAATTTTTGAAGTGCATAATAAAATAAACATTAACAACAAAAGCAAAGTGAACAATGTGGACAACAGATCCTCCAGCCAGGAAGGTATACTGAGTTTCCCTGCCAGCCAAAGCTAGGGTAAACATGGGCAGCACCTCACAGCTGCTGTAGAAACAAACATGCTCTGGAAAGTCTGCTTAGCTGTCCTCTGAGGACCACACTACACTTTGTATATCAGCAATTTTCCCAAGCCTACCTACATGTATCTCAAATGCTAGCCTGGTTCACTGCTTCCGTAGCAGGTATGAGGTAGGGTAAGCAATGGTATCAATGAATGACTTCAAGGCGCAAGTGCGACAAGAGGACAACTTGGGAAGTACAGTGCAGAAGACCCTAAACAGAGAGTGGAGAGTCAGGAAAGCATGCCTGCAGTGATTTGAGCAACTCTCTCTCTGCTCAGTGGACTGTGAATGTGGAGCCAACAAGTGTGCTTACATCCTGTGGTAAGAAAAACATTGGGGTGACCAAACAATAAGACATAAGAAGCCTAGTTCATGCTAATCCTAGAGTTAATTCCGCACCTGGGGACTGAATGCCCCTGAATTATTAAGGTAAGAAATAAAATGTGCTTTTAGCTTTGCTACAGCAGCTTAGCCTATGGGTTCACACAATGCAAGCCAGAAAGGGAAACTAATAGAGTTCAAAGGATGAAAGCAACAGTCCAACTGACTTGGTTCTCAAATCTCTGCAGCCAACAAGCCATAAATCGAGAGAAATCCAGTCATGTCACCCAACCATCTCCAGGAGAGGCCAGCCACGTCCTCAAGCTAAAGGGGGTTCCACCCAGCACAGCCACACAACACAGTGTGGCCACAGTGGCCTATACCAAATCCTCAGGAACAGGGGACACATACTGTTTTCACCTTCAGTGCTGGCAGAAACAACCCTGTTCTACCTTTACCCTACAGCAGGAGAGCCCAAGCTTGAATTACCATTTTTGAAGACAAGCCAAATCCAGTTAAGGCATGAAGTAAAAAACAGCTGTGATGGGGTCAGGAGGGGAGTCCAGAGCCCCAGAACACATGCTACAGCTGGGAACCAGCTGGGGCCAGGGACAAGGACCCTGCGTACAGCACCTGTTCCTCCTGAGCAATACCATAGTGACAGCTTAGACGGTGGGCAGCTGCCAGTCACTAGCGAATTCCAGCCACTGGCACTTGCTGCTGTTTTCAGATCTTGTTGAAGAGTTCCATGTACTGTATCATGGTATCTGCTGGCCCATACACAGCATCATGACTATTTCCAAATACTGTGGGGGGCCCTGGTGTGTGGCTACCTAGAAAACTCTGTAGGAACTCAAGCAGGAGGCTCCAGCAGTCACTAGCCACTACACAAGGGCCATACTCCGCCTGGGACAGTAGAACAGACAGCAAGGGTAAGGACAAGGTTGAGGCCTGTTTCACTCTTCGCTCCCTCCTCCTGCCACTGCTACCACTGAATGTCACAACTGAAAAGATTTAGAGAATCTTGGCCCTGGAGGTTCCTTAAAACAAACAACAACAAAAAAACAAAAAACAAAAAACAAAACAAAAACCTGCCATTAGATCATTTTCTGAACTACCTAGGATGCTCCCCAGACTTAATTTCCTCTGGTTTTTACTTTCCAACAGGATCTAACTGTGCAGCGCAAGCTGGCCTCAAACTCAGAATCCTCTGGCCTCTACCTCATAAGAACTGAGACAGGAGGCATGCACCAGCTCTCCCAGCCTTAGAGCTCCTTATTCTATACACTGCTTCACAGGAATGTCACTCACAACTACAGTCACCAGGCCTCTTGACAGCCTGAATCCCTTAGCCAAATGCCTTTCGGGGTATTTCCTCTCTCTTGTTGTTGTTGCTGTTGTTTTCAAGACAGACTTTCTCTGTGCAGCCATCGCTGTCCTGGAACTTGCTCTTTAGATTAGGCTAGCCTGGAACTCAAGGGATTCATCAGTATCTACCTCCTGAAATGCTGGGATTAAAAAGTTTGTGTTTCAGCTTTGCTTGCTTACTAAATGATACATTTCAAAAGACAGGCCCTGCAAGCTTATATCTGTTTTATCTTGTTTTTGAAATCTTAGTTAATGCTGGACACATGATAGGCTTTGGACTTTCACTTCTAAAGCTATCTACCACCATATCCCCCATATATCACCTTCAATCCATACGTATTTAGGCTCAAAGAAGAAGGCTATCAGTCAATGAAGATGCTTGCCACCAAGCCTGATAACCTGCATTCAATCCCTAGGGCCCAATGGTAGAAGAAAGACCTGACTGCTCTGATCTCCACACACGTGCTGTGCATGTATACACCACGCCAGCCATAAGTAAATGTAGCAAGTTTTTTGACTAAAAAACAACTAGATGAAGGCATCTCATCTGGATATTCTTGCTCACCATGAAAACTGACGAATGCTGAAAGGAAAGTGTAGTTTTGTTCCACAGCTCTGAGGCCTCTCATAAAACATACTAAGAAGGGGGTACAGGCACATGACTGACATCCCACCTCCCAAGCACCCTTCAGAAAGCTGTCTCTCCCAGCCCTTCCTGGGAAGGGTGGTTGGCATCTCTGCATCCTTTCTCCTTGGCTTTCCTGGGTTGTGCCTTCAGCCTCTCTAACCTTTGACCCGAGTGAACCCACGTCAATCCTAGGCCAGAGACGGAATAGCTAAAGAAGAGACAGAAGAACCCTAGCGAGGTGCTGGAGAGATGCTCAACAGTTAAAATCATGTGTTGCTTGCTCGTGGGACTGGGGTTGGTTCCTAGCACACACATAGTGACTAACAATTTCTTTGCCTCCAAATCCAGGGCATCAACCAGATGCCCTCTTCTGCCCTCTGTGGGCATTGCACACATGTGGTACACAAAACATACCCACAGGCAAAATACCCATATACACAAACAAAAAAATAGATCTAAAAAATTTCTTAGAGAAACAGGCATGGTGACTCACTCCTATAATCCTAGCACTTGTAGGCTGAGATAGAAGGATTGCATGAATTCATGAATAGGCTACACTAAGACTCCTCTCTCCCCTTTTTTCCCCTCTCTCTCAGGCCTATGCTGTATTTTCAGCACCACGAAAACCAGGCCTGGTGAAATACACCTGGAATCCTAGCACTCAGGAGGTGAAGGCACAGAGCTCAAGCCAAATGAGACTGTTTTATAAAAACAAATAACATAAGAAAGAGGCCGAGTATAGTGGTACACTCCACAATCTCAGTGCTTGTGGGCAGAAACAGGAGGACCATCAATTTATCATCCTTTGCTACACAGTAAGTTCAAGGCCTCAGATATGAGTCTACCACCACTCCCCAAACAAAACATCCCTGTAACAGAGGCAGGAGAGATACTAGGTGGGGTGGGAAAACTTCCAGAACCCTTACTGTGTAGCCCATAGCATATTCTGCTTGTCCTTCCCCAAGGTCTTACCTCCACAGAGATGCCATGGGCACTGGGACCCATTGTGACTGTGCCCTCCTTCACCAGGAAGTCACAGTACTGGTAGCAAGTACTCCGGGTCTCAATCTTGCTGGCTTTGGCACTCTGGAAAAAGCCCTTGAGCTTCACCATGAGCACATCGAAGTTGGTGTCAGCAATAAGGCAAGGCCCATTCTCAAAAAGGGCAAAACAGCTCAGGGGGTACTCGGAGTTATGCATCACGTACATCAGCTTCCCAGCCTGGCCTGCAAGGGACAGATGGCTCACTCGTGATCAGGACTGTGTCAACATACCCCAGGATAGCTCAAGTGCAGCAAACAAGAACAATTGGCAGTTGGTACCCTGGCAGTCTGAGAAGGGAAAGGATCCTTAAATGCTACCCTTTTCCAGAGAAGCCAGGCATCTGGAAAAGCCAGCCCCACAACAAGGGCTATACACACCTGAAGAGCACCAGGGGATTCTCAGGGTGTTGAGAGCAGTTGTGTGGTGAGTTCACAGGTGGCTACTTTATCATGATTAGTAATCCATACAGAGACTCTCTTCTACCTTATCATCTGTAATAAATAAAACTAAGGGATGGTGGGCAGGCACTGGCCTAGTCCTTAGTTCCAGCCCCAAAACCTCAAACATAAAAGTAAAACTAAAACAGAAGTAACAACATCTGGTATATAACTCTGGACCTCAGGTAATGCCTCCTTTGAAATCAAAATGCTCTTACAGAGGCTTTGGAATAGGGAG